GTGACTTTGGGCCAATCACCGGGAGTCGGGGAGTTCTAGTCCCGTCTTAGGAATGACAGCTGACTGGGTGACTTTGGGCCAATCACCGGGAGTTGGGGAGTTCTAGTCCCGTTTTAGGAATGACAGCTGACTGGGTGACTTTGGGCCAATCACCGGGCGTCGGGGAATTCTAGTCCTGTCTTAGGAATGACAGCTGACTGGGTGACTTTGGGCCAATCACCGGGCGTCGGGGAATTCTAGTCCTGTCTTAGGAATGACAGCTGACTGGGTGACTTTGGGCCAATCACCGGGCGTCGGGGAATTCTAGTCCTGTCTTAGGAATGACAGCTGACTGGGTGACTTTGGGCCAATCACCGGGAGTCGGGAAATTCTAGTCCTGTCTTAGGAATGACAGCTGACTGTGTGACTTTGGGCCAATCACCAGGAGTCAGGGAATTCTAGTCCTGTCTTAGGAATGACAGCTGACTGTGTGACTTTGGGCCAATCTCCGGGCGTCGGAGAATTCTAGTCCCGTCTTAGGAATGACAGCTGACTGGGTGACTTTGGGCCAATCACCGGGCGTCGAGGAATTCTAGTCCTGCCTTAGAAATGACAGCTGACTGAGTGACTTTGGGCCAATCACCGGGAGTCGGGGAGTTCTAAACCCGTTTTAGGAATGACAGCTAACTGGGTGACTTTGGGCCCAGTCCTTCTCTTAGCCCACCTCATAGCGATGTTGTTGTGCAGAAAATAAGAGCATCATGTCTGCTTGTTCTCTTGAGTTATTTATGAAAATAATAAAGATGGGATAATCAAATAAAAATAACTTATTATTATAGATTGTAAATACATAAATACAGAATAACAGAGTTGGAAGGGACCTTGGAGGTCTTCTAGTCCAACCCCCTGCTCAAACAGGAGATTCTGTACCGTTTCAGATGAACAGTTGTCCAATCTCTTCCTGAAAACCTCCAGTGATGGAATGCCCATAAATTCTGGAGGCCAATTTACAAACGAATACGTAAAGATTGTGAATAAATAATTTATGAATAAAGAAACAAGAGGTTACAAGTTAAAAATAACTGCTGAATAAACAGATAAACATTATAAAGAAATGATTTATGAATAAATAAATGCTGTAAGCAAGTAATTTGTAAGTAAATAAATAAAGATTATAAATACTTTATGAGTAAATAAATAAAGATGGATGGATGGATTGATGAATTAATAGATGAAACTCAGCCTATCTGTGTTTACCCGGATTGTCACTCACGTTTTGTCTGGTTTCAAGGACGAGAAACTTGGTACACTCGGTGTAATTTGCCCAGGTGACATTCTGGTTGGGCACCAATGCCCAGCTGCCATTCAAGTCACATTGCCGGTGGGCATAACCTGGCAAAAAAAGGAGAGACGCCATGAAACAGGGAAGAAATTGCCTTTGGTGATCACTTGGCACCCCAAAACTGTGCCTCAGTTGTACCCACATCAAGGGGGCAGGAACAGGGGTGTAGGTGGCAGTGGTGAAATTCAATTTTTTTTTACTACTGGTTCTGTGGCGGTGGTTAGGAGGGCATGGCAGGGGAAGGATACTGCAAATTTTCCATTCCCACCACACTCTGGGGCCAGCCAGAGGTGACATTTGCCGGTTCTCTGAACTACTCAAAATTTCCGCTACAGGTTTTCTGAACTACTCAAAATTTCCGCTATAGGTTCTCTGAGCTACTCAAAATTTCCACTACTGGTTCTCTGAACTTCTCAAAATTTCCACTACAGGTTCTCTGAACTACTCAAAATTTCCGCTACAGGTTCTCTGAACTTCTCAAAATTTCCGCTACGGGTTCTCTGAACTTCTCAAAATTTCCACTATGGGTCCTCTGAACTTCTCAAAATTTCCACTACGGGTTCTCTGAACTACTCAAAATTTCCACTACGGGTTCTCTGAACTTCTCAAAATTTCCACTACGGGTTCTCCGAACTACTCAAAATTTCCACTACGGGTTCTCTGAACTTCTCAAAATTTCCACTACGGGTTCTCCGAACTACTCAAAATTTCCACTACGGGTTCTCTGAA